CCATGTATGCTAGATAGGAATATAACCTTGGAATTCAACTTTGCATGACAAATTAGACAAACATAGATCCAAGGTTATTAGGGTTGCATGTACACTTAGGAAGTGTTAGAATGCTTAAAACCCATCAATTTATACGTAATATTTCTTTTTTAATGTATTCGAAAATTAAGTAATTCATTCTGCATATGGAATACCTACCGAGGTCAAGGCAACAAATTGTTTTTTAATAACGGCTATATCAAGAAGTCAATTAGTCAATAGGACTAAGTCACTGGAATTAGTCATATTAGTCCTAGTATTCAGGATGTGTGCTTCACGTGCCTATGTATGTGGGTTTAGTTTGTTTGCTGTAGCTTGTCTCTGTATATATATACTTGTATCATTTATCACTTTGATATATGAAAAAGATTAACTTTCAATTCTCATAAAATCTATATGGTATCAGAGCTTTGGTAGCTAATATCAATTTTTTTCTCCTTTTTTCAATTGTTCTTCCTGCGATCACCACCATGTCGCTCAACACCACAAATCAACAATTACTTGCTGCTGCTACCATGGCTTCCATCCATATGAACTTCCAGATTCCTCCACTCAGCATCAAGATAGATCGTCACAACTACCCCCTGTGGCGCACCACCATCATCTCTGCCCTGGAGTGCTTTGACTTAGACTCCTTCATTCGTAATCCCCAACCTCCATCTGCAACTCTTCCTGCTGCGGCAGTTGAAAGTACAGAGGTTGCCCCTGCCCCCACTCCAAATCCGGAATTTTCCACCTGGAAACAACGAGACAGATTCGTCCTTCTCTGGCTCAAATCAACCCTATCTGAGCGGTGTCTTGCATCTGTGGCTCGCTCCCCCTCTTCTCATGAAGCCAGACAAACCCTAGAACGCACGTTTCAAGCTCATACTCGTGCCCACCGCATGACAATGCAACATCAACTACAGACCCTCTCCAAAGGATCATTATCCATGCTTGATTACCTTGACCGCAAACGCCAGCTTGCTGATTCCTTGGCTGAAAATCTCACACCCGTCTCTGATGAAGAACTAATTGGGGACATTCTCCATGGCTTGGATTCCTCCTATAGCTCCTTTACATCTGCTTTTTTAATGCATTCTGACATCAGCAACGTTGACACTCTCATTGGCCTTCTCCTTCAAGAGGAAGCAAGACTTGAACATGATCTTACCAAACAAGCTATCACCCATCTTGCCTCCACCACACCTCCCTCCACCACCTCAACATTCCCTACTGCTAATCAGGTCTCTCGCACCAGCAATCACAACTCTCGCCACTCTACAACTCACTCAGGACACTTATCCAACTATCGAGACTCTGATTCCCGTCGTCGAAGACCCCATTGCCAACTCTGCAATAAACCTGGTCACGAGGCTATCAATTGTTGGCAACGATCCAACCAAATTGACTACCCATCCACAAAGCCCAATCCTCATCAGCAGCAACGCCAAGCCCACCTCACTACTGGACCCAGCCCATCCACAGTCTTGGACCCTGCTTGGTATTTTGATACAGGTGCAATAGATCACGTCTCGCCTGATATGAGCAAGCTGCAAATTACTGAACCCTATGCTGGAGACGACAAACTCCAAATTGGAAATGGTACAAACCTCCTTATTACTCATTCTGGCTCATCTTCTCTATTATCATTGCATTTACCAAAAGTTCTTATTGTTCCTCGTTTAACCAAAAACCTACTCAGTGTTTCTCAACTTACACGAGACAACAATGTATACATGGAATTTTGGCCTAATCATTGCATTGTTAAGACATTTCAGGGAAAACCTCTCATTCACGGGCACATTGATAATGGTCTGTATCGATTCTCAACACACTACGATAAACCATCATCTACAATGGCTCTCTCTGGTGTACGAACCTCCATGACTGGCTGGCACAATCGTCTTGCACATCCACATGAAGCTATTCTTCGAAGATTGATCTCTACTTTTCATCTTCCTACTTCCAGCAATAATTTAGCATCTGTTTGTGAACCATGCCAATTAGGCAAAAGTCATAAACTTCCTTTTTCTTCTACTCATATTTCTTGTACTCAACCATTTGAATTAGTCTATTCTGATGTATGGGGGCCTTCACCCACATTTTCCATAAATGGCAATTGATACTTTGTTTTCTTTGTTGATGACTTTACTAAATTTGTTTGGATCTATTTCATCTCTGCAAAATCTCAAGTTTTACAAACATTTGTTACTTTTCGGACCATGATCAAAACACAATTTGGGTGCGAAATCAAAAAGTTTCAATCCGATTGGGGTGGTGAATACCGTTTGGTATCTTCTTATCTCCAATCTTGTGGCATTAACCATCGCCTCACGTGTCCCTACACCTCTGAACAAAATGGGGCTGTAGAACGTCGAAACAGAATAATTGTTGAAAAGGGATTATCTCTACTCGCTCAATCCTCACTTCCACATGATTTTTTGGAACATGCCTTCAAATCTGCCACATATATTCACAATCGCACAATCACACTAACTCTCAATTATACCTCCCCATACTCTAAACTATACAACAAAACTCCTGACTATGCTTTCCTACACACCTTTGGTTGCCTCTCTTACCCGTTTTTACGACCCTATACTACCCACAAAATGGAGTTTCGCTCTCTTCCTTGTGTTCTTATCGGCTATAGCGCCTCTCACAAAGGTTACCTCTATTTCCATCGCCCAACCTTACGCATTTATATCTCACGACATGTAATCTTTAATGAATCTGTCTTTCCATATGCTATAACTTCTCCCCCTCCTAACTCTTCCTTCTCCAATTCCCCACTTGTACCATCCGACACCACTATTCTTACTCATGCTCTACATTTACCAACCACTCCGATCATACCATCTCCTACCTCTTCCCCACCCAACTCCCACACCTTCTTCCTCATCCTATCCCTCTTCTTCCACTCCTTCCCATCGCCGACCCACCATAAGTTCCCAAGCAAAACAAAATGCCCCTCGTTTCTTCCGTCCCGCTGCCAACACACAACATTAAATGGTTACTCGGGGGCCGAACAAACTCTCTAAAACAAAAAGCATTTCTCCATACCATTTCACCTTCACCCACCACTGAACCCCGTAATGTCCCTTAAGCTCTTCAAACCCCAGCTTGGTTAAATGCAATGCGATGTGAATTTGATGCTTTAATGCGTAATAAGACTTCGTCTCTCGTACCACGTCCCCCTAAGGCTAACATTGTTGGATGTAAATGGATTTTCAGGATCAAACGCCATTCTGATGGTACCATTGAATGTTACAAGGCCCGCCTAGTCGCTAAAGGTTTCAGCCAAGAAGAGGGTGTCGACTTCTTTGAAACCTTTAGTCCAGTCATCAAGCCAACTACCATTCTCTTAGTCATCTCTGTAGCTCTCTCTCATGGTTGGAATATCCGACAACTCAACATTAATAACGCTTTCTTAAATGGTGTACTCTCCGAAGAGGTTTATATGGAACAACCTCGTGGCTTCGAAGACAAATTACAACCTAATGCTATTTGCAAACTTCATAAGGCCTTGTACGGACTGAAGCAAGCTCCAAGAGCTTGGTTCAATCAGCTCAAAAACCATCTTGTCACCCATGGGTTTCGAGCTTGCCATTCCGACACATCTTTATTTGTTCACACATCTAACATTGCCATTGTCTATGTTTTAGTTTATGTAGATGATTTGATTATTACAAGAAATAATCCATCCTTTATTCAAAAGATAATCAACAATCTACATCACACATTTGCTCTTAAAGACCTAGGTGATTTACATTACTTTCTTGGAGTGCAAATCACGAAATCAAACCATGGCCTAACTCTTTCCCAGCAAAAATACATCCATGATCTTTTGACCAAAACCAAAATGATAGACTCCAAATCAGTCTCCACACCAGCCGATCCTTCAACCAAACTTGTACTTTCTGGTGACCCTTTTCATGATCCAAAACTGTACAGACAAGTAGTTGGATCCCTTCAATATGCCACTATAACTAGGCCCGATATTGGATATGCAGTAAATTGCATTTGTCGATCCATGCATTCCCCAACCACCCTCCACTAGCAGGCTGTAAAGCGCATCTTACGATACCTGAATGGCACAATGCATCATTGTCTTCACTTTACACCTCCCAACACAGAATGCCTACTAGCTTATTCAGACTCTGGATGGTTGTCGGACTCTGATGATAGTCGTTCTCAATATGGATTTTCTGTTTTCCATGGACCTAATCTCATAAGTTGGACATCCAGAAAACAACGAGTTGTTGCCAGATCAAGCACTGAAGCAAAATATAGAGCTCTTGCCTATACGACTGCTGAGCTCTTATGGATTCAACAACTCTTACGAGACCTGGATGTTTTGCTTCCTAAACCTGCCATTTTATTGTGTGATAATGTTGGCGCCACATTCATGTGCAAAATTCCAATTCTCAGCACCAGGTCCAAGCACATAACTCTTGATTTTCATTTCGTTAGAGAACAGGTAGACTCCGGGAATCTCAAGATCTGTAACGTACCCTCTGTTGACCAATGGGCAGACATATTCACCAAGCCGTTGCATAAAGAGCAAATTGCCCAACTACGACACAAGCTTCAAGTCAGACCTGCACTTGAGCTTGCCGGGGGGTAATAACAGCTATATCAAGAAGTCAATTAGTCAATAGGACTAAGTCACTGGAATTAGTCATATTAGTCCTGGTATTCAGGATGTGTGCTTCACGTGCCTATGTATGTGGGTTTAGTTTGTTTGCTGAAGCTTGTCTCTGTATATATATACTTGTATCATTCATCACTTTGATATATGAAAAAGATTAACTTTCAATTCTAATAAAATCTATATTATTATTTTCTTTGCTTTATCGGGTTTCTGGTCCATGCTGGTAAGCATGTCTGTGACTGGTATGTATGTATGTATGTATATATATATATATATATATATATATAATAAAAAATTTTACTTTTTTAAATAACTCCAAGCAAAACTATTGGCAAACCTCTACTCGGGTAGCCCTACTGGCTACAAGCCTTTCTTTAAGTTCTTCTATTTCAGGATTCAAACATGAAAAGAGAGTCTTTTCCTCTGGGCTTAAATGATCAACAATTTTTGTTCTCATTTCTTCTCTTTTCATATCAATATTATTTTTTGACTTGCTCCATTTGAGTCTCCACATTTGCAAGCATCTTCCTCTGAGTCTTGCTGTATTACTAAGAAGACTAGTAGTTCCTTGTGCCATGCCTATGATGAGTCCTGCTCGACTCTGCAAAAACCAAAATTAGTACTTATTTCTTAATAATACTTATGTTTCAAAGGCTGCAAAAGTAGCAACATATTATATATGTGATGTGATGATATTACCTTCATAAAGCTTTTGGCTGGAACTGAGAGGAAATATTTGATGCCAACTCCCACACTCTTTGCGAAATCCATGGGATTTTCTATTACACCAGCAGAGCCAAAAACCTAAAGAGAAATATGATGGAATTTTAATAGCATTGTAACTGTAAAAAATAAAATTTAACTTCATGTATAAAAAAATATCTAACCTTGTATATATAAATAGAGAAATAACAAATATTTGGATGAATTACCGTTGAAAGAAGAATACTTGAACACCAAAAAAGCAAAGTTAACAGGAGACACACTGTCATGGATTTATCTAAAAATTTGACTTTTTTAATTCATGTTTCTATCAGAATTTGTTAAAATTGTGGAAGAAAAAGAACAGTAAGAGGAAACCCAAACGAATTTAATAGTAAAAAGTTCAACGCCACATCCAAACATGTTATGAGCTGTAATTTGTACTCAAATCCCATGATTTTATCTAAAAATAAGAACTTTATTGTTCAAATCTCGAGCAAAACATATCAATAAAATCAATCGATGAAAATAAAACAAATTAAACATCAACACTAGAAAACCCATAGCAAATCCTACAAACCTTTTCCAAAGTTGGAGCTTTTTTTCTTCATATTTCAAGCCAAATCTGTCGAAACTGACAAAAAGAAAGCAACAAATTCATTATGAAAACACATGAAATTTAACTCTGAAAAAGCGATAGCCTATATGCGTGGAAAATCAGAAGATTCTATCAACATGACTACGAAGGATATCAATCATAGTCAAAGTACCTAAAAAGTCAGCTACAGAAACAAAAAGAAAAAAAATCAATCAATGAACAGACCCCAGTTCAGAATACATATTTTCAAGGAGACTTAAAATTCGAAATGGAAGTTAAAACTAGAAAACAAACAAAAAGCATTAAATTTATTATTTCTTACAGATTTCCCAAGATTATACTTACAACCACTTGCAAACTCTACCATCACTAGACAAAAAATGAACAAAAATGAGAGAAAAAAAACATAGAAGGGTGAATAGAATAGGGAACAGTTCTTGAGGCTAGATTCTTGAATATTCCTAATAAAGGTTTACCACATTTTTATCTGGGCAAAGAGTAAATTCCGAAAGTACCCATAAAAAAGTAATAGAGAAACACAAGAAATTTTGTGGGATGTTTTACCAAGTAAATCTTTCACTCATTTGTTTGGAATAAGCGATTGAAATTGATTTACAACTTTATAACATCATATTTGACCGCGAAAGAAGTCAAAAACTACATTTGGATAAGATCATACCACCCGAACGTCATATTTGTCGGCAATGACTAGACATCGCTTATATCCTTCCAATGTTATGCTGAGGAAATTATCTCTATCTTGCTGAAACATTAAGGTAATACAGTTAAGATGACATGATATGTTGTACTTTTTGAAGACTGATTGGTGTTCTACCTGTAACTTTTCAACCTCCTCTTTGTCCATTGTGAGTTGTTTTTGCAACCACTTGCAAACTCTACCATCACTAGACAAAAAATTAACAAAAATGAGAGAAAATGATAAATATTCTGAAATTATGTTAAGCAGGGAATGGATGACAAAGACAAGTTTTGAAAACATTGGCTTGCCTTGGATGAATTCTTGAATCACCTATAAAGCGCATCCAACTCTTTTGTCTACAAAATTGACTTCTGGTTATGACATTTCCAAACAAAACCTCATTTTATTAAAAAATTAGAAGAATTGAAATATGTATAAATAAACAACCTTACGTTTTCTCAAGCGCATTGATGCTTACCACTCATTAGAGGTGAGTCTTTCCTCATAGCTACAGAAAAGAGCATCGCATAATAAGCAAGTTGGAAATGTGTTTGGCCTTGTCTTGCAACTGACTTCTTGTTTATTGACTAGTGTTTGTCAGCAAGGTTGACCACGTTTTTTAGATACTTCTCCAAGATAGTCCTAGAGCTAAAAGGCAGAATGGTAAAGTTAGCTTCATTGTCTTGCAATATTTAAGGAGACAAATTGAGAATATGGTTAACAATTATATTTTATAACTAACTTGCTAGAACGTGTTTCGACCAACCATTTTCCAACTAGACGATATACATCTACTGCCGCCTCATTCATTTTGCGATTTTCAGAGATGTACTTTGCAAGATTAATTGCCATCTCATGTTGACCTTGGGCCCGCAGAAGCTTTGCTTCTTCAACCTAGTTAGAATAAAAATTATATATTAAGGAAGGAAAAATATAAGGTTCGGTAATGAATAATGATGTTATAGAAACGCATACCCTTCCAAGCCAACAGAGTTTAGAATCTTCTCCCTTCACATCTCCGACAATCTTCATCTATGGATGAGAGAGATGAGAGAAAAACTTAGAGAGTGAAGAGTGAAGTCGGATTTAGGAGAATTTGTACCAGTTTTAGGGTTTCCTTCGGTTACTCCCTTCACATCTCTGAAAATCTTCATCTATGGAGGAGAGAGATGAGAGAAAACTTGGTGGAGGGGGAGAGATGAGAAGGTGGATGCATCAATTAGGGAGAAAACAAACTCAGAGAGTGAAGAGTGAACTCGGATTTAGGAGAAGTAGTACCATTTTTAGGGAGAAATCGAACCAGTTGGTCTTCATTGTTGATCTTCTCTGTCACCATTACTGGCTCCTGAATAGAGAGAAAGGGTAGGGTTTAGGGTGATTTGAGGAGTCGTAGTCGCATGTGTGTAGAAGTGAGCCTGAGCTCGCCGACGAGGTGAGGTGAGACAGAGGTTGCCGTTGAGGCTGATCAAGTCGTTGATTGAAAAGCACTCGCGTGGAATGGAAAAGCATTTTGAATGATAGCGTTTTGTGTGTTCTTCAAAAAAAGCTCTAGAATGAATAGCCAATGCGATTGTTTTTATAAGAAATTATTTAACCTGGAAGAAGGATTAACATGCAGCCTCACAATTCTTTAGGGTTCATTGGGAGAGGATTTTAGAAGGAGAAGAAGGAGACACATTAGGCGTGGTGTTCAATTTTTTGAGATCATTTCTCCCCATCGGTTGTTAAAAAAAATGAAGAACGCGCCTTCTTAAAAAAAACATAAAGCGACAACTTTACACGACACACTTTTTATTATAGGTGCCCGTCGTGTTTTTTTTGGACACTAATTTTAAGGCACACAAAAAATGCGTGTCCACTATCCTTCAAAATTTAGAAAACTGACATTATTTTTAGGACGCACAAAAAATGAGTATCGTAGATTCATACGTGTCATTGTTTGTACGTCGTAAAAGGCTTTTTATTCTAGTAGTGCCTGATGATATGCACCCCAAATGGACCATGCTACTCTCGGGTCAACTACATACCAATTATAGTTATGGACTTAGACACTAATCCAACAACATCATGCTCTATATGTTTCCAGTGGAGTGTGTGTAGTTAACCGACATACTAATGTAAGACTATAAAGTTAAATTGATGGCACAACTCCAAAATTATTGTTGTTGATGGAGCTTGTATGGCTTACCGACACATCAATGTGAGATGATAAAAGACATCGAGGTTGCAAATGGGTTGCATTGTTATTCACATATCAATTTTGACCCTCGACATTCAAGTCACAAAAGTGAGAGCATAATATGAAATTAAACATGTCATTGATAAGATTCACTGAATCTCAAAAGATCTAGGAGTTTCATAAGATTGAAATTGGCAAAAGCCTTACTTACCGAAAATAGATTCGAGTTTAATTATGACATCTCTCTTCAAAGTTCGAATTGAAAATATGGATTATAGCCATAATATAAATTTTGGGTTAATAATTCATGATTAAAATGAACTAACTTAACTTTTCTTTTCTCCCTATTATATATGTCAAATCGAGACAACAATAGTCTTCATCTTTTGTTTGAAAATGTTTTTCTTCTTCCTTCTGAAGAGATCTTCTACATTCTGATCATGGTGAAAATGTTTTCCTATCTTCGGGTAAGGATGGAACTGGACATCATGTTTCTTCAACTCTTCCATTTCATCCTCCTGTGACTCTCCCAACGTCATGTTTTCCTCAAGTTGAAAGATACTAAACTACTCAAGCCATATTGGCGTGTAGACATCAAGATGGAACTTATGTGTGTCCACATGTTCTAGAAATGAAATTGTACATTGATAAGATGGATAGAAAGGGTGTCATTTCCTAAGGGAACAAGCCATTGATTTGGGTCTTTTCTCGCTTGCAAAATCATATGATCAGTTCATTGAGAGCTTTTATATGAGGAACCTCGACGTTACCCTAATTGATCTGACCCAAAATTGAATGGTTTCTGAAGCAAAAATGCTTAAGAGCATATCAAAAGAAGAGATGTTTATAGGATCTAATTCCAAGTTTCCATGGACATTGAAAATGGTGGTCTAGAAAATACTTCTCTTCCAAATAGAAATGGGTCATCCAAGATCAAATAGTTTCATCATATGGAAAAGAGAAAGGCTAGCTTTGGGATCGTTCCACGTGTTGACCCCAATGAGTCCATTTGTTTCTACTGCAAATTAAAGGGACATTGGTTGTAGAGCTACCCAAAGTACCTAAAAGATCTCAGAGATGGTAAATTCAATTCAAATGACTCTACTTTAGGTACATCCATTATATAACTCCATTGTTTTATAAGTTCCCATTCATTGACTCTTAATACATTATGCGATGATCACATTTTGATGGTATTAAAGGAGATAAGAGAACGAATGAAGCTTTAGCAAGGTGAGCTAAATCAGATCGTGGGAAATGGACTTTAGTTACATGGTTCAAAGATTAGAATTTGGTGCTACTACTAAGGAGTTAGGATAATTTAATATATTACTATTACTCTTCGGAGATGTGTAGAAACATACTTTTTATTTTATGCATTGTAAGGACAAGCTGTAACATTTTGTTTATTTTCAGCAAAAGTGAAATTTTCGTTTATCTAGTTGCCTTATTTTATATTTCCTTGAAATGGAATATATGAAAGTGTTGATTACATTTCTAATTTTAGCAATATTAAATGTGGATTTGATTCTTATGATATCACTTATAGTATTGTCTTAATTGACTTAGTGAAACGAAATCTCATCATCAAGTTTCAATTAGACAGAAACTTGGAGTCATATAGTTCGAATTGTGTGATGCATGAGAATCTCGTTCATTGGAAAATTATGACTAATTCATCATGCACATGTTTATGTGAGTTAAGTGAATGACTAATGGAACCAGTAAATGTTGATATAGACTCTTTAGATCCACCACAAAGGACGATAACTCTATTCGTCATGATTTTTTTATGTTTCAGTAAATATGGTTGTGTCTATAAGATTAATCATAATTTTGATACTTTGAAAAGATTCAAAGAGTAGAAGAATGAATAACAAGAATCTATTAGGGTGAAAGATAAAAGTTTCAAGAGTACTTTGGTATCATGTTTTATGATTATCTTAGATATTGTGGATTTATATCACAATCGACTCCTCTAAGAACATCTTAGTGCAATTGTATGACTAAGAAGAAGAATCGACCATTGATGGAAATGGTTCGATCATAGATGAGCCATACTTTTTTTCAATCAAGTTTTGGAGTCATACTCTAGTAACTACAAATCGTATCTTGAAACTCATTTCATATTAAGAAGGTTGGTAACACCTCGTAACATGTGGAGTAATAATCTTGTCTTACTCTAGCACATTTAAGAATTGGAGTTTTGATGTTTTTCATTAATCAAGAAACAGAAGATAAACTGAGAATAATTCTATGAAGTGTTTTCTCTTCGAGAATCCATATGAGCTTTAGAATATTTCTTTTAGTTCATTAAAGGAATTTTCTTTAAGATAAAACTCATATGTCAAGAATTCAATGGGAGTCGTATTGATCTTGAGAGCTTCATAAGTCAACTGACAATAAACCTTTTAGTTATCACTAGCACGCGACCTGAGGTTGATAACCTATCGTGTTTGGTTGACATATTCTCATTTCTATGCACTTCTAGTTGAGTTGGCAATGCTTATGAGTTCTATGTTTTTCATTCAACTACAAAAGAAAAGCATTTTGGTTAGTGAAAGTGCATTTGTATATATGGGTGACTTGCTAACAACATGGAAGCATTGGTAGGCCCTTCAGGTACCAGAGGTCAGGAAAATTAGAATAGAAAATTTTTGTCCAAGAAGGAAAGTGTAGGGTAAAAATTAGTAAGTGAGAGTTGAAAGCTATGTCTTTCATTATGTGTCTGTAAGTGTCGAAAGCAGAAGCAGTTTCGACATGTTATCTATTTACAAGGCAACACATTGTTGTTATGCCACATTTAGTCTTTGTATTTTTTGTTCGTCTGTAGTACCCTATAAATAGGGTAAGTGCATAGAGTTGAGGTATTAGTTCAAATATTCTCTTATCATTTTTGTACTCTTCATACAATATATTGAGCCAATCAGATCTTATTTAGATCTTGTGTATTTTAAAGATTTTTCCTAATCAATTAAGTCGTTTATCGATTTTTTAATACACATCAATTGGTATCAAATTCAGATTCACATCATCAATTGAAGTTTTCTTGTATTTTTCATCTTTTTGAATTACTCTTTCTGATTCAAACTTTCCCCAGATTGAAACTGGAAACTAGTATCAATTGATTGATATGAATCAGTTCTGCATTCTATGTGTTAGATCAATTGATTTCTGATTGATCTGTGATTGATTTCTTTCTTTGATTTATTTTTTTAACCAAAATCTATTTCTTTTAAATCTGTACAACAATTGCGAATTTCAATCTAAACACGATGACTATTTTCTCTCACTTGCTTGGATTAGCTACAAAAATTCTGATGTTAATTCTAGAGTTTTATGATCAATGGGCAGATAGAATGGAAGGTTATTTGAATGGTATTGATGAAGATCTGACGAGGTCAATCAGAAAAGGTTCCTTTCTTCCTGAAATATTAGTTACTGTTGGAACTACTGCTACTTTTGAAGACATAATTACACAAGGAAACAAAATAAGAGAAAATGATAAGAGATGTATGCGTAAATTACATGGTGCTCTTTTACCGGTAGTTTAGAACTATGTTCGAGGGTGTTCATCAGCAAGGTAGATTTAAGATACTCTTAAGGAAAAGTATCAAAGTAGCAAGAGATTTTAGTCAAACAATACTTGTTAGAGCTGAGAGAATTCAAGTAGAAAGAAACTGAATCAGTCGAATCATATTATGATCGATTTAATGAGTTAAATTTCAAATGTTCCCGCTATGGAGTTAGACGTTCGATACTGGAGTTTAATCTCACTTTTCTCATGGGAACAACGAAGGACTGATGAAACATCAGTTTGCTGATCAAAACACAGGAGAGCTTTTATGGTTAC